AATATAAAGTAGGCGAACGTATTTGTTCGCGCATATTGAGTCAGGAGCAAAAAAAAAATTTCTGAAACTATTCTCAGTGTGAAAATGTAACAGAATAATATCTATTTTTTTTGTCTTTGTAGTAACGTTAAAAGAGGTAGAGAGAATAAATATATAATATGGGCAAACGATTTGTTCACGCATAATGAGTCATGAGCGAAAAAAAAGATTTATGAAGCAATACCTATTATAAGACATCTAGAAAAATCTTACGTATTTTATTGTGTATATGATAGCGTGAAAATATGTAGAAAGAAAGTTCAATAATTGTTTGTTAGAGTATACTATTGTTAGAATGCAGCCAGAAATTTTTTGAAGATGATTATATTCTGAAAGTAAACCTGCGATAAATATTTAAATCACAATGACTAAAATTTTTTTTCATATCTTTCCATTGAAGAACTATATTAACTAATTAAATTAATTTATCCTATATTGATTCAAAAATAAGCAATCAGTAAAAACTGTTCGATATTTGTATTAATATATCTTCTTATCGTAATATTTATTTTATTACAAAACACTTTTTCATGTATAAAAAGCAAACATATAAAATCGGTGAAATATTAAAAGTTTTTAAAAAATTAAATATTCATAACATTGATCACAAGCACGTTGTGGTTTTTTTGATGATGCTGCAACAACAGCTGTTTTTGATGAACAAAGGTCACAAAATATATTTCCACAATTTCGGCAATGATGTTTACGTTATATGACAGAAAATGTTTGGTAACATTTCATACATGAATGAATATCATCATCATTTAACCATCGTCGTTGACTTACTTTATTTAATTGAATCTATTTAGAAGAAAAACATATAAAACATTAGAAATATTTCTATAGAGCACTATTTTAGACTGATAAATAAGAGCAAAGAAGTAGTTATAAGACTTTAACAAAATTCGCTCAGAATTTTCTATTTTGTTTTATCACTATGGTAAAATTTTATGTTACCGATTGATAAACTCGCCAATGGATAATATAAAAACTGACTATTTATATTTATTTTCTTCATTAGGTGTTTTTAATGATTATTGTCATGATTATTTACCTGACTTATATGATAAATTAAAACATCTCGGTGTTGCTACTTGTATAAGTCTTTCATGGTTTTTAACATTATTTATTTGGTAAGAAAGAATTTATTTCATTGATTTTTGTTTTCTCTAACAAAACTATTTTAGTGTAATGCCATTTGATTCAGCCTTATATGTTATGGATATATTTTTTTATGATGGTATAAAAGTACTTTTCCAATTAGCATTAACTATATTAAAAGAAAATGAAGAACGTTTATTAAAATGTCAAGATGATGGTGATGCTATTATGGCTTTAACATCATATTTAGATGGATTAAATCAAGATAATGAACAAGGAAAAAAAATAATTTATTTAATAAAACAATCTTATATGGATTACAATGGTATTAATGAAGAAGATATTAATCGTTTACGTTTAAAACATCGTTTGAAAGTTGTACAAAATATGGCTGAAACAATTTTACAATCAGCTGCAAAGAATACATTAAAATATACATTATTTACGGAATATCAAATAAAAGATCTTTTTTATGTTTTCAAAGTAAAAATCTAATACATAGTGACTCTACTGTTAACTGAGTTCCGTTATCAAAATCACTCATAGTAGAAAAAAATCTTATTCGAAAATATTAACGGGATGGTTTAGCGCTCTAGAGACAACTTTCGTGTACCTTGTTCGTCATTATCTGGATTTCAATCTATACCTACACGTTAATCTAAGGATCCCTCATAGTATTTTGGGAAGATAATTTTTTTTAATCTTTGTCTTTTGTTGTAGGATGCTTCACGTTTATCATTAACCGAAGCAACAGATCCAAGAAAATTAGCTTATGAAACATATCGTATTAGTCGTAATGATTATCTTGTTTTATGTAAATATTTATCACCATGGTTTATTGGTGAACAACCAGAAGATTTAGCAAATCTATTATTTAATGTAAGATTTATAAGAATTTAATTTTCATATTAAACTTTTTTTTTGTTTCTATAGTCATTTTGTTTACCAACAAATTCTAATGAAATTGATTTTATTAATTTTATTCGTTTATGGAATATTTTATTAAATGGAGATGTTACAGAGAAATTAAAACTTCTATTTATTATTCATATGAAAGGTTAGTAAAATAAATTGAACAATTCTGAAACAAAATCAATGTATTTAGATAAGAAACGACAAGAAAAAGCTATGACTACTTTATTAGAACCATCTCCAGTTCGTTCAACATCAATGATTATTAATCCTAAACAAACAGAACCAACTGTATCGACAGAAGAAGATCTATTAACAATTGACGTAAAAGATGGAGAAGTTCCGAAAATTAAATCCAGTCAATTACCATTAATGGATCAAGTAAGAAATTTCATCCTCGTCTTACACCTAAGTATACGTTATTTTCTTTGTTTATATTTTTAGACTGAATTTATCCATCTATGTAAATCAATGTATAATTTAATGACAGGAGATGTTGACGATGAAACTTTATTTCGAGCATTAACGACATCCAGTACTATTCTATTAAAAACTGGTATGATCATTTTTTTGTTCTATCGAAATTCTTCGAATTAATTTTGTTTTTTTCTCAAAGGTGAAATGTGTAAACCTTATCGTCGATTAGAAGGTGATACTGCAAGTTCAGAAGAAACAATCAATGAATGGACACTTAGTTTTGAACAATTTGAAGCAGCTATGAATGCTGAAGCATCGATTGTTAATTGGTTTGAAGTGAATACTCAACAACAATCACTTGAACAACGTATTCATAATTATAATCAAGATTTTCTTCGATGAATATTTATATTTAATTTTCTTCTTTTTTCTTCTCTATATACCAGTGCAATGTACAGTGACATATTTATCTTTTCTAATAAACTTTTATGGTGCTTATTTATTTAAAAACAATAAAAAATAACAGTTTTATTTTTTTTTCTCTTTCCAATAGAAAGTTTTATGGATCGTTTAAATACAATAATAAACGATCTTATTTTATCCAATGAATTTGATTTAATTATACCAGTTGTCAAAGCTGGTTTATTAACATTAGTACGTGATAATTATTTATCACAATTTCTGATAACAATTGAACAATTATCAACACCACATATTAATACATATCATATTGCATTTATACAATTTAATAAACAATTAATTGATATTGAAAATTATCTTAAAACATTATCTCAAACACTTGAAAGTCAATATAATTTAAAATTATTTGATATTCAAGATTTTATGATTCAATTACCTCATAATGCTGTTAAACAACAATTATTACATACAACAAATATTATTAAATCAACATTTTATATGAAATTTATCGATACATTCGAATATTATTTAGCTGCCTATGCTGCACAACATGCGCGAGTTCCATGTGCAGAATTATTAAAAGGTAGTTTTATTTATTTATTTGAAGAATGATCGATAATTTTTTTCATATATAGATACGGCATCTTGTTCATTTTGTAAATTATCATTATCATCTGCATGTAAATGTATAGAATTACAAGAACAATTTGAAATAATTATTTTAATTCTGTAAGAAATTTCAATGATTATTTTTTCTAGGATTTTCTTTTCTTTGTTTGTTTAGTAAACGTCTTGGCCTTCTGTCGCGTGTTTGTCAACATGCAGCATTAGCTGCATGTCGACATCGAATTACGAATTTTATTAAACAAATATGTGAACAATATTCATCGCATGCATGTTTACCACATCTAGAACAAGTATATTTTTTGAGTTGATTAACAGAACAAGTTTCTAGTCTTAGATAAGTCTCAATATGAAAGAAAACTATAGAAATAGATACTACTATCCGTTTCAAAAAAGAAGGCGCGCGATTGTGAGTTGAATACTTCGAGAATACAAAAACCCAGGGACCTGCGATTTTCATCATTAGAAAGACGAGACCGGGGTGTGGGTGTTAATATGGGTTAAGAGATGATACAGTGGCGCACACCTACATAAAGCCTTGATAGTATATATCAAAATATAAGTTTTATTTTACTTACTAGTGGTTTGAAACTGGAGTGATTACATGGCTTAGTATACTTGAATCCCATTGTAATAATGATCAAGATAATAATGATGAAAAACAACAATCAACATTTAAAATCGATTTATCTTCATGTCGTACAGAATTAAAACATCATATATATGAATGTATAATGCGTGAAAGAGGTGCTCGTCATATGTTTCAAATAATAATTGATTATCCTGAATCACGACATGGAGGAGTATTGGATGATCTTAAACGTTGTGTATCAATTGTTGGTAAACGTCATTTAATTATTGATAATGTACGAAATGAATTTAATAAACGACTTTTACATCCTGGTGTTGGTACAACAGAAATTTTAGCTGCATTTATTAATGCTATACGAGTTTTACGTTATCTTGATTCAACTGGTGTAATGATGGAATTAGCATGTCATAATGTAAAACAATTTCTAGCGTATGTTTATAATGTTTGAACTAGTCTTTTTTTTAAATATATTGGTATTTATTTTTAGACGTCGTGAAGATACGATTCGTGTTATTGTTAGTAATATGAATGAACATGGTGTATTAGAATTAGATGAATTAACACAACGTTAGTTTAATATTTAAAAAAAAGAAGGAATCTTTTTATTTCGTTTTTATTATAGCTGATGGTACTAATATACGATCAAGTCAATCTCTTCTTGAAGATGAATGGGAACCAGAACCAATCGAAGCATTGACAGGTTATTTTTCATTTTTACAAAAGTATTGATATTTTATGATTATTCCTTATATTTTAGCTCCTGAACGTGCACTTCGTCCATCTCATTCACGTGATTTAATGTCCATGCTTGTATCAATCTATGGTCATGCAGAATTATTTGTTGAAGAATATGTTCATATGTTAGCTGATCGTATGTTATCTGGTCAATCCAATAAAGTTGATATTGAACATGAAGGTCGTTATGTTGATTTATTAAAACAACGATTTGGTGATGGTGGTTTACAAGGTTGTGATGTTATGCTTAAAGATTATATTGATTCAAGACTTATGAATGATCTAGTTAAAAAACAATTAGCACATCAACATTTTCCATTAGTTAGTACAGCTGGTGTACCAATAAATACATTAATTATATCAAATCAATATTGGCCAGAAGTTAAATTTTCACCTATTGATTTACCAGATGAATTAAAAGCGATACAAAAAGCCTATACAACTGCTTATGAAACATTAAAACCTCATCGTACATTACATTGGAGTCCTAATTATGGTAAAATAAAAGAAATAAATTGTTTTGTTTTTATTTGAATATTATATTTTAGGACAAGTTAATATTGAAATTGAAATCGGAGGAAAAACATTAGAATTTAGTGTAACACCATTTCATGCAGCAATTATTTATAAATTTCAAGAAAAAGGTAATAATAAAGATAATTTTACAATTGAAATTTATTGGTTTATTTTTTAGATACTTGGACAATAAGTGATTTAAGTTCATCATTGAAATGTTCAACAGCTTGTATACGTAAACGAATAAATCTTTGGCAGAATTGTGGTTTATTAAAAGAAGAAGCTAAAGATACATTTCGTTTAGTTGAAGATACATCAAAAGTAGCATCGAATAGTTCATCTCAAGCACCAGCTTTATTAGGTGTTGATGTTGATGATATGAATGTTGAACATCAAGCTGAACCAGATAAAAAAGAACAAGAACATACGGTTAGTCATTTAATTCTATGTTTCCTTTAATAAATTATATTTCTTTAGCTTGTATGTAATTTTGTCTTTGGTATGCTTCGTTCAATGACATCATTAACATTAGAAAGAATTTATTCATTATTATGTGTTTATGCATTTCATGGACAACATGAACGAACATTAATCGATGTACGAAATATTCTTGATGCAGAAGTAAAATCAAATCAATTATTATATACAAATGGACTTTATACATTACCAGCAAATCAAGGAACAACTTCCACATCACCAATTTCAACGAATGAGAATATGCTTGTAGATTAAATATTGATAACAGAAAAATAAAATAGAGAAAGAATGTTTGTATATATTAAAAAGAACAATAGAAAGAAAGAAAAAAATGTTTTTTTTGTCTCTTATTGAATAAATGTAACCGATGGAGAGAAATGAATTTATCTCAAAAAGTCTCAATTAATTAACCGTATGATGAAACAGTTCTATTTGAACAAAAAAAAATACTATGAGCTACGAAAGTTAAGTAGAAAATAAAGTTTAATATTGATACGATGTGCGTTAGAAAATAGGCAGAATAGCGACATCTATACTTTTAATATTAATTGAAAATAATTCTACAGTTTAGTCGTTTTTGTTGGACGATGAAAATTCGATAAGTATTCAGTCCGATTTGTTTGAATAAAAAACCTTTAATAGGATATCTACCACTAAGTTTGAGATTAATACTGCAAAAAAAAAAACATGATACATAATCTTGAAATGGATTGTCTTAGGAAATAAATGAATTTATTTTTGTAGATAATAAATTATGTCTAATCAAACATTTCTTGTTGGTTCTGGTAGTAAAACTATCAGTGCATGTCGTTTAACAGCTGATGGGCAAATACAACTACTTCAGGAAAATAAAAGTGGCAATGGACCATCATGGCTTCATGCACAAAATGATATTCTTTATGCAGTTAATGAACCTGATAATAAAATAGAAGTATTTACAATTGATGATCGTATTCAAGGAAAATTAACATCGAAAAATACTGTTTCATCACAAGGATGTACACCTGCTTCACTCGATATCGATTCAACTGGTAAATGGCTTGCTGTAGCTAAGTATGTCTATAATGGTTAATTATTCTTTTTTTATTAATCTATTTGATTTTAGTTATGGTGGAAATGGTACATCTAATTTCGCATTATTACCTATAGATAAATCTAATTTTTCAAAAGATAAAGATCCACAAGTAACAATAATTGATGGACATGGTCCAAATCGTAAACGTCAAGAACATTCACATTGTCATCAAGTACAATTTCATCAAAACTATCTATATGTTGTTGATCTTGGTACAGATACAATAAATGTATACCATTATAATGATACTAATGGTGAAGTTCGTTTAAATCATCAAATTAAAACAGCACCAGGTGCTGGGCCACGTCATTTACTTTTTCATCCAGATAAACCATTGGCATTTGTATGTAATGAATTAAATTCAACAACATGTGTCTATCGAACAGATGCAACAAATGGAAAATTAGAACTTCAACAAATAATAACAACACGACGTAAAGAAGATGAACAAAGTGAATAGAAAAAAAACAAAACAATGCAAATTTCTTAATATATACATATAATCTTTTTAGATTCAAATAAAGAAAATACACCAGCAGAATTACATTTTACACCAGATAAAAAATATTTACTTGTCTCAAATCGTGGTGATGAAAATATTGTTATTTATAATTTAAATGAAAATCATGATGAAATTTTAAGTATAAAAGAACATCTTAATATCCAAGGTTCAGGTCCACGATATTTTACATTTGATCCAACTGGTAAATTTCTACTTATCGCAAATCAAGATTCAAATAATTTAACATGTTTTTCATATAGTAAAGATAAACATACATTTGAATTTATTTCACAATTGGTTAATATTGAATCTCCTCAACATCTTCTTTTTATTTCTTAATTTTAATAAATTATTTAAACCAGCAGAAACTAACTCTTACTTAAATTCAACAAAATTATTCATACTTTTTCATCTTCTATATGATTAACAAATATATCCCGTTCGAAAAAAAATGGTGATACGGGTATTAGAATTGCTTTGAAATGACTTTTAGTAAAAGACAAGATGATAATGTGTCGCATCATGTATTCTTCTAGTAGGAAGAAAAAAACATTAGTATAAATCTGATTGAAAGACTACTGTGATGATATTCTAAACTTAAGGAGTATTCAGTGTTTTGTCTAGCGGATAGACGGCGGCCACCAGAAAAAAACTAAACATTGAAGTGAAGTATAGCTTATCAAAAAAAAAATGCTTATATTTTTTTACAAACGGTTAAAAATCCTTGAGAAATAGCGTAAATAATTATACTTATCTTTCTCTTTCTCATCACTGATTTCCATCACCATCTATCGTACAACTGTTACTATTCGCTGTGAGCCTTGTCATCAACAATTCGAACGCTTTCCCTACTAATTCGTGACTAGCATTATCTATACAGGGAAAAAATGGTTAAGACTTATATTACTCAGTGGTTATATACATTCCCATGGTCTCAAGTTGTGAGTGGATTTTGGCAAAAATTCCCTAATCCATATACGTATGATTGATATTCCAGTTGATTTAATTTTTGAATAAATAATTTCTTCTTTTTAGTGGTCATGTATTATCTGAAGATACGTATTATCGAACAATAACTGAAGATAATAAAATTATCTCTAAACGTTTATTAAGTAAAACAAATAAACTTCCACGTTGGGGTGAACGTATATTTTCTCGTGGTTCATCTTCAACAATCGGATTTATTATTGAAGAATCTGTATGTGATATAAAACAAAAAATATTTACAACAACTACAATAAATATTAATCTCAAATCTTTAATGGTAAATAAATTTGGCATAGAAAAAAAACAAATTTTTCCCATTTTCTAGACTGTACAAGAAACATGTACGTATCGCCCAGATAAAACTGATGAATCGAGAACTGTGTGTGAAAAAAAAGTTGCTGCACAAGGTGAATTATTTGGTTTTAAAACTACATTAGAAACATTTGTTATACAACGTTATAAAAAAAATCATGAATTAGCCAGTCTTGGATTAGAATTTATACTTCATAAATTATATTTACCACAATTACCACCACCACCTATAACTGGTATTAAAACACCAGATATGAGAACATTCTCAAGAAAATTAAGTGATAAAGCAAAAGATTTCTTGAAATCATCTACAAATAATGATACATTGTAGTTTTTCTTTTCTTTCGATCACATATGAAAATTCAGTTCATTTTTGTTATAACTCGTTTTGTACAAGGGATTAAACATTATTATTCTTTTCTATTTACAGATATTGAATATATAGTTTAGGTAATTAAGAATATGATTTACAATAGAATTATGATTAATCAGTTTTTGTAATTAGTCGGTAAGTCAGGTAAAGACGAGAACGATAAAATCGTACCGTTATAAGCATCGAATATATAAACCGATGTATTATTTATTGAATTATTGTTTATATGAATAGAAAATTCTAGATAGTAATTATATATATATATTAATTGATTGATCAATGTCATCAACTAACGATGGTATTCTGTTTATAACTGCTGGTTATGATCGAACAATACGATTTTGGCATGCGGGTACTGCAGCAATTTATCGAACGATAATGCATGAAGATTCAGTAAGATATTTTTGTGTGAAATAAGAAAATTTTTATAAGAAAAAATAATTTTTATTTAGCCGACAAATTGTTTAGCAATCCATCCACAAAAAACGTTATTAGCCGCCGGAAGTCATCAACATATAAAAATGTATGATTTATTATCAAATAATCCCAATCCAGTAATGAAATTAGATCAATTACAGAAGAATATAGTGACATTAGGATTTAGTGATGATAAACATTTTATGTTTTCAGGGGGTGAAGATCATTGTGTAAGAATTTGGGATATGAGGTTAGTAGATAAATTCATATTTAAATATATATTATATTGAAAATTTTAGAGCGGCTAAAACAAAAGCTCATCGACAGATTACTGTTGGTGCTTCTGTTAATTGTGTTACACTTCATCCGAATCAGGTTTTATATTTCTATAAAAAGAAACGAATTTATTATTCATCATTTATTACAAAATATATAGGCAGAATTATTAATTGGTGATCAAGATGGAACGATTTATCGGTGGGATATGGCCGGTGATAAGAATGAAAAACATGTAAGACTTTTATATAAGTTAATTTTCATTAATCTATTTTTTTTATATCGTAGACAATTGACGCAAATAATCCGAGTGCGATTCGATCAATTTCTATTAATCGTGATGCATCGATGATGGCTGCAGTAACCAGTAATGTAAGTAATTTACACATAGAAAGCATTTCTATCGCACAATGTATCATCGATAATTATTGTTTCATAAATAGGGTGATTGTCAAATTTGGTCAATGACTGGATTTAGTCAAACTCATCTTATACGTCGTACGAATTTTCTTGCTCACAAACGTTATGCATTGAAATGTTTATTTTCGCCTGATATGACGTATGTTAAACTTATTTGAATAATGAATTCATGATTTTTGTTTTCTTTTAATTAGTTTACTAGCAACAACATCAGCAGATGGTACAGCAAAAATCTGGCGTACTTCAGATTTATCATGTCAGTATGAATTAAAACATGATAAATTAACAAATTGGGTATGGGATTGTGCATTCACATCAGATTCACTTTTTGTTGTAACAGGTTTGTTTTTTTTGGTTTTGAAATTTCATTTTATATTCAATTGATTTTTTTGTAGTATGTTCGGATGGAAAGGCACGTTTGTGGTCAACGGAAACAGGCGATATCACTAAGGAATATATTGGACATCAAAAACCTGCTACTTGTCTCGCGTTCGATGATCGAACTTTTCGATGATAACACAATAGTGTTTGTACATATAAGATAGAGTATTCTAAAATCTTATTTTTTTGTATCCATTCAATGAATATTGAATATATACAAAATCGAGAAAAAAAGGATTTTATTATACTCTATTATAACTCTATTGTTTGTTTTTTCTATAAAACTGATTTATTAATTAACGTTTTATGAGAATATACGAAGTTTTATTAGCAAAAAAACCATAAGAATCTTCTCAATTTGATTTTATTCAAATTAGCATCAATATAAAAAATAAGATTATATGCAAAAAACATTATTCTAAAAAGAATTTATCTGTTCTATGTCTAATAAATAACTAAATGGAATTCAAAGAGATAACATTTATACAGATACTTAACTAATTGAATTTATGTATGATGATGTTAAAAGTTTATTTTTTGAAGTACAATGATCAAAATACTTTATGAAAACGAAAAACTATAAGTGTTTGCATGAAGAAGTGTTGTAAAAAAAACAAATAGACCACTTCTTCTATTATAATATTTATCGATAAATAGCGACATCTAATATAAATTTGACTGCACAAGTATTTTGTGAGTACTGCCATGGTGTTTGTTTAGTCAACCTCTCATTTTATTGCTAACTTTCCTTAGGTTATTAGCAGTACATCGGTCCATTGTCCGTCCATTGTTGTTCTTCCTTCCAGTTACAATCTTTATTAAAATAATTTGTCTTATTTTATTTTAGATCTCATTCCATTCTGTCTCTTTATTTAACTAACAATATGGTGCAAACAAGTCCCACCCCATTCGATGTAAATTTTTTTTTTTAATATTTCTTTTGATGTTGAAATTCTTTTGATTGATTTCTTTTTTTTTGTTTGTCTAGGTGGGTCGTGCATTCGTTCATCAATATTACACATTATTACATCAAGCTCCTAATCTACTTCATCGGTAAATTTAATAATACAAATATTTTTCTTGTTTATTTATTTTTTTTTTGTTAAAATAAAGATTTTATTCAACGGATAGTACATTTATTCATGGTGGTGTTGATCGTCCAGGATCTATTGAACAACCAGCTGTTGGTCCGGAAAATATTGCTCGACGAATAAATGACCTTAATTTACAAGATTGTCATGCAAAAATTCGTCAAGTTGATTCCCATCCAACAATCGGCAATGGAGTTGTCGTTCAGGTAACCGGTGAATTATCAAATAATGGTGATCCAATGCGTCGTTTCATGCAAACATTTGTATTGGCACCACGACAACCAAAAAAATATTACGTACAAAATGATATCTTTCGTTATCAAGATGAAGTTTTTGATGATGGTTCAGATGAAGATGATGGTTCAAGTTCACAAATTTATGGTGATACGGTAAATAAAAGAAGAAAAAGAAAATATATGTATCTACCTTTTTAGTAATTTATTTAGGATAAGGTTTCAAATGCAGATTCATCAGCTGCAGTTACACAACAACCATTAGTGGTCCCACCTACATCACGACCACCAATTGAAGAACAACAACAACAACATCAACCATTACCACCCCGTAACACAGGTAATCAACAACAGGTCAATTCAAATCAAACTGTTCGACAACAACAACAACAACAACAACAGCAACAAGAAACTCCTGTGTAAGTTATAAAATATACAAATTAAATAAATAAATCAATCTATGTATATATATAGAAATGGTCTTACTGAATCAACTACATTCAATGGGCAACCAGAAACAATACAAGAAAGTCAACAACAAACTAAACAACCAATACCTGAAGGTACATCGTATGCTGGTATTGCTAAATTACATTCATCAACTGGTCCAACATCGAATGTTAATTCAATAAGTACAATTCCAGTAGTAGCTCCAACACAACAAATCAATACAGCTCGTCCATCAACAGCTGTTAAACCAACATCTAATCAACAACGAGGAGGTAGTGGTAATTATTATCAACAAAATAATCGTGGTAATCAGTGGAATAATGATAATCATACTCCACAAGATCCAAATTCAACTCGTCGTTCAGGTCCAAATACACCAGCAGCACCTAATGAACAACAAGTTTTTGTTGGATCATTACCAGCAGAATTTACTCAGGCAACTTTAATTGAATGTTTTTCACAATATGGTAAAGTTCTTGATGCAAAAATTCATAGACCAACACATGATAATAAAAAAGTATGTTATTTCATTTTTATTCAAACAAAAAAAAACAATTCTTTTTATTTTAAATTAGAGTTTTGGTTTTGTTATCTTTGAAGATCCAGAGATTGCATCAAAAGTCGTTAAAATGGAACATGTTACTCATGAAAATGCTCGTTTAAATGTTGAACCAAAAACACAAAAAGGTAGTTATCAGGGAAATGCAAACAATGCATCACAAGGAAATGGTCGAAATAATTATCAAAGAGGAGGTGGAGGAATGAATCGTGGAGGAAATCGTGGACCATATCGCGGTAGTGGAAATAATCAACGACGTGGTGGTGGCGGTGGTCAATATCATAATAATTCATCAACATTTACCGGAGGTGATGAGAATTATAAAGTTCAACAACAACAACAACCACAACAACAACAACAGTAGTTAATAAAGATTAGCGGATGATTTTTTTTTGTGTTTGTTTAACTTGATTTGAACAGTTGCAACCATGGATATGTGTGTGTTTTTTTGCTTGCTTTTTTCCTTATTTGTTTTTTACGAATTTGATATTATATTGGCGCGAGAACATCGTAAATACAAAAACACAATTATTGTCTTTCAAAAATCATCCACTGCTTCTTTACGTTTCTTTTTGTTTGTTTGTCTCTTCTTCTTTATTGAAAATGCTGTCAGTTTCCTTTCTTTTTCTTCTACTTCTTCTTCTTCTTCTTCTTCTTTTTTGTACACATTTAAACATATGCACCAGAGCGATACGACCAGACAAATGGATGAGAACGACCTATAGCTAAATGTGAATAAAATGATGAACGTAAAGACGCGTTTACTTGATTATGACACTAGCATAAGTCAGAGAGTCTGGAGTAACAACATATGAGTCATGTTCGAGCTTAGTTAATAGATTTTTTTGTATAAGATGTAAAGTTATATAAACATTTCTGATACTTTATAATTAGATTTAGAGATATGCCTGGAAGTCTTCTTAACAGATAATCGAGATATATCAATCATATTTTTTCTGTAAAATCAAAAGATAACTTATAAATAAGATATTGTCGTGTAATCATTTGAATATTGTTATTGAAGACCGACATACAATTCTGTTTACCTTTGATGATGTTTTAAAATAATATATTCATGAAACCTTATACATTCTTAATAGATTTGACTATGTTCAATAATTTTCAAAACTATCATAACATAAATATTCTATTACAATTGATTATTTTGTTAGACAATCGTATGATTCCTTATCTAAATTTTTCAATGCAAAGTTTATATCTTTTTTGTTTTGATACTAGAAAAAATATAGATAATGTGTGTATGTTTACGACGGAAGACAATGACGTACAGAATATTAAAAAAATTATTACATCTTACTCTATAACATAAAACGTCAATGATATCACCGATTTTGTTAATACTAAAAAGTAAAGGTTATGAAGACCTCTCAGTGTCGAACTTCGGACATTTTCATAAATTGACGTGGAATTATAAATGAAGTAAAACCCTCGATCTTTTAGCAAAATTAGTCTTCGCTTATTATTTATGCTGTCCCACACACCTCGAGCTATACTCATTCGAAGTAATTTTTCACACCGCATAGAATGAGTACATTTCGAAACATCTGGGATACAATAAATAGTAGAAAAAGCTGATTTCGTAGAACTCTATTCACATAGATTTTAACTTTTTTAGAAGTTATGAATTCAATGAAATAACTTTAACCAAACGAAAATCATTCCATCGTGAATATCATTCATTGAAACGATTGAATTAGAAATATATACATATTGCTAAAGAATACATCATCAATAAAAACTTCGATATAAAAAAATGGTCGAGATAAGCATCATTATTTAAGTCAAAATGACAGATCATCCGCCGGCTAACATTGATACCTTTTTTTTCTTGTAAATATGGCAAAATTTCGAACCCAGGAATTAAAGAGAAAAGAATTCATACTTTTTATTCACTGTGAAACTAAGATAGATGTTATAAACAACAATAAAATACCCAAATTCAGCCTAAGAACTTTTTATATGTCATACAATCTTGAGAATCAGTTTATTATACAAAATAATTCTTTTATAAATTCAAGAAAAAGAAAAGAATGACTACGATAGATGATCTTAAATCAAAAATTTAAGGTCAAATTCCACAATATTCAATCTAAAAACACCGAATAGATAAAGATAATATTTGTATGTATATTTATATATATATGTGTGTGTGTTGTGTTAATTGTTTTAATAAAAGTGTAGTTTTTTTTCTGGAAATGACAATGACAACGAATAGACAAACGATCATAGATGAACCGAACGAAAAAGAAAGTAACACACACACAATGTACAGGTAAAGAAAAATAAGAGCAACGACAATTACAATGTAAATAAAAAAAAGAAGAAGAAAAGAATTTTGAATCGATCTGAGAACGAGAATAAGTTCATCATTTTGTTTCTTTATATGATGTTTACTTCCCTATCGATATAATTAAATAAAAAAAAAAGAAAAGAATTTTCTTTTTGTTAACATTGACATTTCGAATCACCACTTTGTGCATTCCCATCTGAACCAGTTGTACCATTTCCAGTACGAGTAATTGCAAGTGGTTTAGGTTGAACACCTGATTCAGCTGAATTTAAGTCAAGCGAACCATCCTGAATATTTTGATAAATTTTTCTCGCTGTTTCAATAAATGCATCTTCAACATGATCACCTGTTTTAGCTGATGTTTCAAGAAATAATAAATCATTTTCATCAGCAAATCGTTTGGCTTCATCATAGGTTACTTCACGTTGACCATCTAAATCACCTTTATTACCTGAAATTTGAATAAAAAAATTTTCATAAAAATATTTTTTTATTATTTTACCAATAAGAAAGATAACTGTGTTAGGATTAGTCAAACTTCTTGCATCAGTAAGCCATCCGCTTAAATGATTGTAAGTGGCACGTCGAGTTATGTCATAAACCATAAGAGCGCCTGCTGCGCCACGGTAATATGAACCTTTAAAAACAAAATAAATAACATTCTCACAAGAAAAAAATATCTACGTGTTACTGCACGGAAACGTTCTTGACCAGCTGTATCCCTATAATAATAATAAATGATATTCTATAGAATTTATAAATTTAATTTACCAAATTTGTAATTTGATTTTTTGTCCATTGACTTCAATAATACGTGTACCAAATTCTACACCAATTGTATGTGGACAATCGGCCATAAACTATGAATTAAAATAGTTTATTTATTTAATGAATATTTTTCGAAAAAAAAAACTAACTTTTTTCTCTGTAAATTGATGAAGTAGACAACTCTTTCCGACACCCATATCACCGATAATAATATATTTAAAAATATAGGAATAATTGTACGGGCCCTGATTTGCCATGGCACCGTGTATGTCTATCTATTCTTTTTTAGTAATAAAAATATGAAAAAAAAAGAAGAAGACTAAAGTGAATCTACAAAGAAAGCGAAAAAAAAATGAAAGAGTAAAAAGATAAACGATCCATTTAGGCCAGTCATATACCCGTCACTCGTATTCAGTCGTCATTAGACTTAACTTAATGCCACTATAATGACGATGGAGATCAGCTGATTGTAAAATACATCTTGTGACATCTATGAAATAATGATTTGTTAAAGAAAGTAACCAGACTTAAAGATTTATATGCTGGGAAATAAAATGTGTTGTCGATAGTATGAAATACCACAATATTTACGTACTGTTTGTATTTATCGGCGAATTCTTTTTTATAACTAAATTTTAATATGTCGGGCTTCATTTTATAGTGTTTAGGTTAATATCTTATAACATCTATTCGCTAATATTGACTTTTAGTTTATTTATGATCATAAAAATTTTCTTATTTTATATAACGGAAGAACAGAAAGTTACCTTTTGATATGAAATCCACGTGATGATTTCATCTACAAAATGGTTTGCATTATTTTTTTAATTTCACACTGTCTGAAAAGTTAATCATTTAGAAATATCGAAAAATCTTCAGTTATCCTCATTGCAGAAAGAATGAAAAGCATGTTAACTAAAGAAAGCCACAACTATCTATATATCTTTCATAGTCAAAGACAAATTATCAATAAATGATGTAAACAAAAGCTAATATCTTATTTCAGAAGAAAAGACAAATTGACAATTGATCTTTTACATAAATGTATACAAACATTATTTATTACGTTGGCATTGAGCGCCCTCTTTTGCTTTCGTTCTTGATTTTATACTAAAGGCAATTTGCACTTCGATGTAATGGCGATTTTGGTCTAAGTACGTCAAAATATATTTACCTTCTTTTTCTGTTTCATCATCCTAAACGAGTTTGATGATGCATGATTTCAATCAACCAATACCGAAATACATACACAATTTTCGTAATTCTACCATATGTTTTTTAGATTATTATATATAAATATCTATATAATATTTAAAAGAACTCATAAATAGAATATATACAATCAAACATGACTGCATATGAGACCGCTGGTCAACCTCATTTGGCCAAACAAACTATAGCTAATATGGTTAATAAAATAAATCAATAAATTTTTTTCGAAAATCTTCTGTATGTTTGTATTTAGAATCCAAGTCAATTATCGCCATTGACACCTGAAGTAATTAGTCGACAAGCAACAATTAATATTGGTACAATCGGCCATGTCGCACATGGTAAATCAACAGTCGTAAAATCTCTTTCTGGAGTATTAACAGTTCGTTTTAAAAATGAAAAAGAACGAAATATTACAATTAAATTAGGTTATGCTAATGCTAAAGTAAATTAAAGAATATTCTTTTTTTTATTTATATAAAATTTAATATATAGATATTCGAATGTGACAACGAGAAATGTCCTCGACCGGAACGTTTTCGTTCAGCTGGTTCAAGTAAAGAAGATGTATTTCCATGTGATCGAAATGGATGTGGTGGACAATTTCGTCTTGTTCGACATGTTTCATTTGTTGATTGTCCTGGTCACGATATTCTGATGGCAACTATGTTGAACGGTGCCGCTGTTATGGATGCTGCTCTTTTACTTATCGGTAAAATTTAAATTTTCTTAATTTTACATTTTTTTTGTACATTCATTTTTAGCTGCTAATGAAACTTGTCCACAACCACAAACATCTGAACATTTAGCAGCTATTGGTATAATGAAATTAAATTCAATATTGGTCTTACAAAATAAAATTGATCTTGTTAAAGAAGTTCAAGCAAAAGAACAATATCAACAAATTATTGATTTTGTTAAAGGTTCTTTATTAGATTTTTCTTAAGGATAAAATAGAAAATGATCTTATTTTTTTTTGTCTAGGCACAAATGCTGAAGGTGCCCCAATTATTCCAATTAGTGCACAACTTAAATACAATATTGAAGTTATTTGCGAATATATTACACGAAAAATTCCAGTACCAATACGTGATTTCACATCAAAACCAAGATTGATCGGTAAGAAATAACGATTTTTTTTGTTTTGTTTTGTTTAACTTTTTGTTAATAGTTATTCGTTCATTTGATGTGAACAAACCCGGTGCCGAAGTCGATGATCTGAAAGGTGGTGTAGCTGGTGGTAGTATTCTTAAAGGTGTTCTTAAAGTAAGAAATATTCTATTGATTGATGAATAGTGATTTAAATTGAATGTATATATATATTAGGTTGGTCAAGAAATTGAAGTTCGACCTGGTATCGTTTCAAAAGATAATGAAGGTCGTCTTCAATGTCGTCCACTTCTATCAAAAATTGTTTCACTCTATGCCGAACAGAATGATCTTGCTTTTGCTGTACCTGGTGGACTTATTGGTGTTGGTACAAAAATTGATCCAACTTTATGTCGTGCTGATCGTCTTGTTGGTCAAGTACTTGGTGAAGTTGGAGCATTACCAGAAATCTACACCGAAATTCAAATAACTTATTTTCTTCTTCGACGTCTTGTTGGTGTAAGAACTGAAGGTGACAAGAAAGGTGCCAAGGTTTGTTAATAATTCCAGAATAAATTTTCAATGTTTGAAATTTACTTTTTTTTTGTTTAGGTTGCTAAATTAACTAAAAATGAAATGTTAATGGTTAATATTGGATCATTAAGTACTGGTGGTCGTGTATTAGCTATAAAAGACGAATTGGCTAAAATTCAATTGACTAATCCAGTTTGTACCGAAGTATCCGAAAAAATAGCCTTAAGTCGTCGTGTTGATAAAAACTTTCGTTTAATTGGTTGGGGTGAAATACGACGTGGAACAGTAATTAAACCACAAGTGGAAATACCTGCAACACGAACAGTTACCGGCAATTAAAAAAAATATATAACATTCATTATTATTGTTTGTCTTTCGAATGGCTGTTGTTGTAGGCAATGGAATGTATAACGTTACGTTTTTTATTAAACAAACAAAAAAAATAGAGCATTTGCTCGATAACATCGTTAATTAAATAAGAGCTTGTTTTGAAAATTAATAATGATTTATAACATTTGATTGCATCATGTAAACATATAATTAAGCTAAAAGAATTAGACATGAACTGCTAAACTAATTAGTCTTTTATGTAGCTATCAAAAAATAAAAAATCGTATATTTATTTACCTCAGATGATCGAAAAGTCTTTTTCGAATATTAATAGTTTTGAATAGAATAAAACTTACTACAGAAATATATGATAGTTCACTTTCTTCGAGTTCATATAACTTGAATATAGGTACACTAAGAGTACAAGGGTTTTATTGAATATTTTTCCACCATACAGTGAAGCTCAAAAGCAGGCCCGTAGCCAGGGGGGGAGGTGAATAGGGTGACCGGTCACCTCCTTTGGCGAAAAAAATCTTGAAGGGGGGTACGGATGAAAACTGTATTCACGAAGCAAAAAATTATTTTCCTACTGGTGTGCACCCCCCTTGAAAAATTCCTGGCTACGGGGCTGCTCAGAAGAAGAGCTTTATATGTAAAAAAAAACGTAACAAAAAAATTGAATAACAAAAGAAATTGTAAGTTTTTAATTTTGATGAATCAGATTAGAATTGAGTGGATCATGATTAATTGCAGTACACTCATGTATACTCACTCGCTTTCTAATGCTACTTCTTAACATATGATAGTCTCTGAATTAAAAGTTTACAAATATAAATTATAACATTTTTATTTTATTTTTTTTGGGGATATCAGCATTTCAATAAAATGATGGAATTATAAAAAAATAACAACGCAAAGAATTAAAAAAAGGAAGAAAAGTCGAAAAATATTGCAAACAAACATTTATTAGTCATTTGTTACACAAACAACACCGGTACGTTCTTCATATTCATCACCCCTCAACGAATAAGTGCACCTTTTCAGATCTTCCCAACTAAAACACGATCAAAATCACTCCATATTATCCGTATTTCATTTAATTCTTCAATCTTCTCTTCAAGTTTTTTCGCTTCCTTCATGAGATTATATAAGTCTTCCTCACACTTCTGTTCATATTCGGTAGATCTTCGTTTTTCTTCACGAAGTTCTTTAAGTAATTCTGCAATTGCGTTGCTTTCTTTCATTATATCCTTTATAACTGCTTCTAATCTGCCTCTTGTGAACATGATCGATTCAACATGACAATCTATTACAATTTTCTTTTCATCTCTTCCAACGACATCCAAATTTCTGTTGTAGTTATTTATTGATGTCCAGTGACGCTCAGCTTCATCTTTAACATCTTGTGCCATTTGTAAAACATAATCTCCAACCATGATGATGATCGATACAATATCTTAATAAATAAAAAAAACATTTTTCTTGTCATTGAATCAACAGTAAACTACATTGGGATACTACTGTAAACACAGAAAAGTTAGACGAAATGGCTATAAAGCAATAGCTACCAAAACTCCACCAGTTTTCTTCCCGTTCAACAAAAAAACATTTCTAAGGACTCCAATCAAAGGTAGAAATGAATCAGCATTTTACATAGGATCTTCAGAATAAGGGAGCTCATGGTATTGAGAGTTTGAGTAACATAACTAATTCTGGTTCATCTCTACTCCAAAATCATTCTCACGAACGTCAGCCCGCTTAGAACACAAATGAATCTGAATAAAAAATACGCCATGTAAGATATGTATTTAACAGGATGAATTTAATCATTACAGAATAAAACAAAACAAAGAATGAAAAAAAGAGACAAGAAAGAAAGAAAAATGATATGACTCTTAAACAGAACGAAAGATGTTTTGCGAATGATTTGAGGATGTATATGTGGGTGTAGCTGTAACTTCTTCGCCAACACTCACACCCACACCCTAATACATAAATTGGATGATGATGAACTATTTTCAGAATTTGCTTTTTCCTCTATTTTTTCGGTCTCGTTACTTGATGGTGTTAATGTTTTCGATGTCGTAATAGCTGTGGTATTGAACTAGTGTTCTGTGAATAATCCTTCGACAGAAGCCATAAACTATAGCTTATCAGATTGTCCATTCTTCAGAGTTTCTAAAATAAGAAAAACAAATTTTAATCAATAGGATATTTGGAGTAATGATAGTTTTTTTGTTTCCTTGAATATGAATAATTTGTTGTTGTAGAAAAATACAAGCAATTAAAAGAACACTATCCAAAATAAAATCATCTTCTAAATAAATAAATAAAAAATATGAATTTATTAGATTTAATCACATCAATAATTCTTACGTTTCAGCCGTAGTTATTCTTCCCAGCAATGTTTAATGACTGATAATTTACAATTTTGACTGAGCAAACGTTGCGATACTGACAAATCAAGACGAGCAGCAACTAATCGTGATAAAGTTTTGTCATCTAATACTAAATATTTATGTAAGTTCAATCAGTTGCAATCATAACAACAGTGGAATGAAGAGAATACAATTCAATACAGATATAAGATAGTTCACTTTCTTCGAGTTTATATAACTTAAATATAGGTACAGTCACAGTACAAGAGTTTTATTGAATAATTTCCTATCAAGCAGTGAGTTATAAAAGAATAGTTTTTATCTATCAGAATGAACAAACATATCGAGTAAGACAGGATATCGTAAGTTTTTGATCTTGTCGAGTCGCTTTAGATTTGAGTGAATCATGACTAATTGCAGTACATTTTGTGTATACTCACTCGCTTTTTAATGCTACTTTTGAATACAAGAGAGTCTCTGAGTTGGAAGTTTACAACTATAATTTATAATAATATTTATTTTCTTCTTTTTCTGACATATTCGAACTTCAATAACATGATGGAAATATTAAAAAAATAACAACGCTAAGCATTGAAAAGAACACAAAGCATTGAAAAAAAGATAAAGAAGTTCGAAAAATAATGGCAGCAAACATTTATTAGCCATTTTTTATATAAGTAGTATAGGATTCAACCATAGTTTCCAGCATTTGATCTAATTCTTCCTCAAACTTCTGTATAAATTCGGTACGTTTTATTTTTTCTCCCCGAACTTGTTTAATCAGTTTTTCATCAAAACGTATTTGTACCCAGCATCTAATGACCGTAATACGTTCAACCAAACGATTTAATATCATTATATTTTCGATGCGATGATGCACATCCATATCTCTTCTCCAGTGATTTATTTTTTGCCAAAGAAAAATGGTGTCTTCTTGAGCAACATATACTGTTCGTGAATAATGATCACTACTCATGATGATAATCGGAACAATATTCTAAAAATAAAAAAACATCTTCCTTGTCATTGAATCAAAAGTAAACTATAATAGAATATTATTGTAAACAGAGAAAAGTTACACCAAATCATTAAACCGATTATCATCGAACATTACGTACGGTAAGTAATACTAACACTACTTGTTTTGTATATATCTAGAATGGACGATAGCATTAGGCAAGACAAAGAGAAAAAAAGGACAATAAATTCTTAAAAAAATCAAAGAAGTTTCTCCAATACTATTAAAGGTTACACTGGTCTGTGTATATGCAGAATTTCGAAATAATAAAAAACAATGTTACTCATGAACGAAACAAAACGTTACTCCATATTACATATTCTAAATGACGACACATCTGATGACCTTCGGCTTACATACAAAATGGACGGCAGTCCAAGAAAAAAAGCGAAGAAAGATAACAGAAGAATAAAAAAATGAATATCCTATTGAAAAATACTCAACTACATCTGAAAATACATAGTGAAAATACCGGTAACGTCTCTTTGTATTTTAGTTATATATAAAACGGTTTAAAATGCTACAGAAAAAAAACAAAAGAAAAAAAGTCGATATACGCTTGATTGTAAGAAGAAGGTTTTGGTAAATGATTGTTAAAACGATTGTATTCTCCTTGTACATAAAATATACAAAAACAGACAAGTAAAAAAGTGCTAAGTCAACAAAAGAACAATACACGCCTGATCGTAAGCGGACGTCTTTGATAAATGATCGTGTAAGAGTGCAATTGTACTTGTATATAAAATAACAAAAAAGAACAAGTTTTGAGGCGATAGAGAAAAGAAAGTAGACGCCTACTCATAGAAGAAGGTATTCAAGACTGATTGTGCAAACAATGATATCGTGCTTCTACATAAAATAAAATAATTATATACAAAGAGAGAGAGAGAGAGAGGGGGAGAGAGAGGGAGAGAGAGGGAGAGAGAGAAAGAGAAAGAGAAACGCATCACGATATATGCGTGATTATAAGAACAAAGGTTTTGCGAACGATCGGACAAACGATTGTATTCTGCTTGTACATAAAATAAAAACAAAATGGCATTTTTCTCGGCGACAAAAAAAGAAAGAGAAGACGCTTACTTATAATGAGAAATTTTTGCCAATGATCGGATAAATAACGATGGTCTGCATATAAATAAAATAAAAACAAAATAGTATTTTTCGCCGCAACAAAAAAAAGAGAGAGAAGACGCTTACTCATAGAAGAAGGTATTCAAGACTAATTGTGCAAACAATGGTATCGTGCTTGTACATACAATAAAATATTTGCAGTTAGAAAATGACAAAGAAAAGAACGATACGCGCTTAATCGTAAGGAGAAGTTTTTGACAATGATCAGATAAATGACGACCATAAATGTAATACTAGAAATTTGAATTCAAATATTCAAATATTCAAATATTCAAATATTCAAATATTATAGTTCAATACTTGAAGTTTTCAAATATTCAATTATTCAAATATTGGAAAATTTTAGTCGAAAAATATTCAAATATTCAATTATTGAGATATATTAGTCGAAAATTATTCAAATATTCAAACATTCTTCAATATCATAGCTGAAAATTATTC